AATTGAATTTCAACATATATGAATACTAACATTTCAGCATTTTTGGAACCATTTCTCTTCCCAGAACCTTTATGTTCATTACAAGTGAGCACATAATGTGCGTTGTGTGTGTGTGTGTGTGTGTGTGTGTGTAGGCTACATACGACAACACAAACTTCAGAGATATTTTATTTTCAGAATTAAAGCTCCTGCCACCTACCAGTTTAAGTGATTGAATAATACAACTGAATAAAGATATATAATAATTATATATACAAAGATATATAATAAGTATGAATACAAATTCATGTATATATATATATATATGGGTAGTTGACAAATAGGCAGTAGAAAATGCTTATTTTGTAAAAGACAATTTTTGAAGAAGAAATGCATATATTTATGTAGTGTTAAGTCTGATCTTTGAGAAAATATAAAAGGTCACTAACTTCGTCAATTCTTTCATTGTTTTTTTTGTTTTTTACATTTTCTCTGAACTGTACCATACGAAGAAAAAAAACCTCTAAATAACAAGAGAGAGATTTATCTTATTTTCATATAGTGCTATTTATTTAATATGAAATTATAATTAACAATTTTTTCCCCATGACTTGTTGGACAATTTCAGGACAAACTTCGACAACAATACAAACTTTGCTGTCATCCGTTCAAAATGACTGAAAATTATACATAATTTTCTCTTGGTCTTTTCTAGCCCCCCTGCTACATGTGTGGCACAGCTAAATATGATTGATATTCAGCCTATATTCATTAAGATGTGAATGAATTTTTTTTAAACTATATGGCTACTCTTTTTAAGGCATCATTTTGATTCTATTACTTTCTGCAGTGTTCTCTTAGGATCTCCTCCCTTCTGTTGGATCCCTGTTAATTTCCCTGTCTATATTTCCATGTCCTCTCTCTTCCAGTAATTTCTCTCCCTCAATTCTTTCTGTTTCAAAAACAAATTACCACATTTTATACTTATTTTCATGACACTTTATAACAGTACAAGTGTTCTGGATCATCTATTTAAGTTTAATGTTTGTAGTGATTATAATTCTGATACCTAGTCATGTAGCTTCCTTTAAAATATAGTTACCATAGTAACATTCTAAGTCAGTTACATTCAGTTAGTTGCCTTATTTAAGTAGAACTTCACACTACAGTCTTGTAGCAGCCATTCATCTTGTGATCATCTGTAGAAAGCATTGTCTGTAAGTTTTTATGATTAATTTGTATTTAATTTGCTGAATTTATTGTTTATAAAGCTATGAAAGAACTATATACGATAAATAACAGTAAATCGAGACATTATTGTATTCTTAGAGATAACTATAGCTACACTATAATTCTCCTTTCTGTAGTTTCACTCTGTTTCAACATGCACAGTCAACGTGGTTTGGAATAAAGCGGCATTCTCCCACAAGTCTACATGTTGGAAAGAGTTTATCTATCTGTCTAAGTTCGGGAAGAGAGACACCAAAGTGAGGGCAGAATAACAAGTTTTCTGCAAAAACATCAGAAAATAGTTTAATGTAATTATTGCATTTAAGAACACTGGAAATTATCGAAAAAGAATAAAAAGGAGTAAAACAAATCTTATTTAATTATTTAAAACACTTTTTTAAAGAGACCTTGTCCTCTGGTGTGACAGTACATGCGTCACACCGGAGGACATTTTCTGTCACACCAGAGGACGTTTCAGCCTTTTTCTGTCAATTAATGACCTTGCTATTCCGAGCTAACCTGTCATTAGCGGTTAGCAAGACACATTTGCATAATTTTCCATGATTAGTTTAACATGCAGTTTTTAATAATAATAAAAAAAAAATAAAGGGTGTCACACTAAAGGACAACAAAACGTAACACTTGTAGTGGTTCCAAAAAAGTTAAATACTTGAACAACTCGGAGACAGAAATTGACCATGTGCACATGTCATGGGCTTCACAGGGGCCTTCAGTAACATGATCATGAATGGGGTCCTTCAACTAATTGAAGTAATACAAATAAAACTAAAAGTTTTCTCTGGAATTGGCCGATTTAAAATCAGGATATGTTGTCACACCATAGGACATGGTTTTCAGAGACAAAATATATCAAGTTCCTACGCTTTCAGAAATATATGGATGAAAAAAATTATTGCCATTTACTAAAATAGACACATTTATTAACATTTGTATGTTTTTCTTTTTAATTTAGAAAAGTTGTAATTTACTGAACCATGCTTGAGACAGTCACACCATAGTACAATTTTGAGATTTGGCTCAAAAATGTAAAAAATCTAATAACACTGCAGCTTTTATAACAACAGGTCCATGTAGGACAAATAAATGTTTAATGATTTACTGAATTTTAAATAACGACAATATTAATTATATTCATTTTTATCTTGTGGGACAGTGAAAATGCCATGTCACATCAACAACTATAAAAGTTAAGAGTTAGCCACCCCTACCTAAAACGGCTCGTTCGACCACGCCCCCACATATCTACGTCACGATGTGGGAAGATTTGCATAACGCCACCCAAATGTTCACGCAAAGAAAGAAGGCGTAACTTTTATTCTCGCTGTAGTATTGTTGCCGCCGCCATGTCGTGAAGAGCTGTGTGTTTCGCTGTGAAAGCGAAACTACTTTGTTTGCTTGTTTTCTGAGAAATTGAAGAAAATTAAATTTATGCATAAAACAAGAACAAACATCTGTCAATGGGGTATGGAAAGTTGCCACGGACAAATAACTGCTAATGTCAACTCACTTAATTTTGATTAACTTCTCGTAGTAATTTTAGGTAATTTTGCATCTCAAGTAAATATTTATTGATTCAAGACTGGAAAACAAGACAAAATGATTGACAAAGAACATTTTTTGCAGTGTGATCAGAAGGTACAGTAAAAGTTATTTCCATATTCTACTGGTTGGGAGCAAAACTATTGAAATATGGAAAAAAAACAATAGAAATAAAAAGCAGTGGAGGTCTGTTGGAAATTGTATTTCCAAACTTTGAAGTATTACGAATACAAGACATTTACATTTAGGGACTATGTCGACGTATTGTGTTCCATTCAATTTATTCCTTAAATTTTTTAACTTGGTCTTAAAAATGTACCTTCATGAAATTTGCAGAAGCCCTGAATTTGACAACCTAAAGCATAATATCATACAAGTATAATGCAAGTTTAATGTTCCTTTTTACATTATCTGCATTGGTTCAGTCTTGCGATGCGCACGACAACTCGCCGACTTCCGTCCAATGCTTTTCTTTGTTCTTTGTTTTCCTTTTCTTCTCTGCCATGACGATGGCAGCCACAACAGTGATGACCACCGTGATGGTGATGACCAGGACAGTAACCATCTCTGCAACGCAGAACTCCTCTTTCATCGTGTAGTTCCTGTGACTTTCGTCCAAATTCACGCATGTGAGGTTATCGTAGTCGTCCAGGAAGAGCCGCTTGACGTTGCAGAGCTTCCGGAAGACTCGCTGCAGATCGCAGTCGCAATTCCACGGGTTTCCTTGGAGCATTATGTGAGTGCTGTACGTGTTGAGACTCAGGAAGGTCTTGAACTGAATCGTGGAGAGGTTGTTGTTGGTGAGGTCCAGTAGAGCGAGACTGGTCAATGGCGAAAGCACGCCGACGTCCAAGTAGTGTATCTGGTTGTGATGTAAATTCAAGACTTCGAGGTTTCGTAGCATGGAGAAGATGCCATTTTTGAGAACCGTTAAATTGTTAGAGTTGAGTTGTAGCTGGCGTAGGGTACTCATGGACACAAACGCCCTCATCTTGATGGTCTCGATAGCATTATGTCTGAGGTTGAGTCTTTGGAGGGCGTCAAAGTGGACGAAAAAACTGCTGTCCAAGCTGGTCAATCGGTTCTCCGCCAGTGACAGATCTCGAAGGGAACCGAGACCCTGCGAAAATCCTTCACTCAGGAATGAGATTCGGTTTCGGCTCAGGTCCAACCTCAACAGTCCTTCCAGAAGAGAGAACGCTCCGTCAGCTAGCACAGCAATCACATTGTCGTTCAGGAGCAGGATGCGAAGTCTTCGTGTGCTGTGGAAGGCTCGGGGCCGGATGGCACTCAGGTGGTTGAGGGACAGGTCCAGTTGTTCGGTGAAGGGTGGAAGGGCGGCGGGCAGGTGGGTGAAATTGCTGCTGGTGCAGTTGGCGATTTTGAGCTCCAGGTGGCAGGTGCAGTCGTAGGTGAAGTTGTGGCTCTTGGAGATGGACTGGACCTCGAGCACCAAGGGAAGCACGAACAACAGATGCATCCTGGAGGTTCTGAGGAGAACCAATAAAAGTTTGTGTAAAATTCAAACCTGTAACCTTTCAGATATCCCTGTTCTTTATAAGTGGTTAAACATCTGGGATATTATGTGCATGGTTACAAGTTATTCAAAGCTTTTACTTACATGTTAAATATGATGCAAAGACTTTTGTTTAAATTTTTTTTACTTTACAGCTCTGTTTTTGAGTACATGACATATAATAGGGACATATAATGCATATAATACATGACATATAATATTTAATAATACATATATTGCATGACATATAATATTTTATGTAATAAAATATAATGATATAAAGCACACAATATGTTTTTTGTCATAATATATATATATAAATAATATAATCACATATATGTATAATGTATAATCACATATATGATATACAATTATATGTTATTTTGTTTCTAAATTATTAATCTTTCCATTTTTATCAACCAAATTACATACATACCTTTAGGTGAATATGTTACAATTAAAAGAATATAAGAATGGTTCTTTATTATATAATCTTATTTTATAATGCTATTTTGATGGACTGGGATAGCATTTATGTCATTGTATAATTCAAAACGAACAATCTATTGCGTCTCTATGCTACATTTTTCCATTATCTGCTTCCGTTAGATCATTATCAGATTGAATTGTGGATCCAGCATGGTTTTATGGAGCTTTTACACACTGTTTTCCAGTATATACTGTATAAACAAACAGTACAAACAAGACAGCTACATGTTTAGCTGCACTTGATGTTTGCATACGGATGTTCAAAGCCTGTTATACGATTACAGGTCAAGGGCGGTTTAGTTCATGCATAAACTTTACTAAATGAGCTTTACAATAAATGTTTATTTGTTTAAAAATGATACTTTAGGTTAAAATGTATAGGAATGTATAATCAGAAGTGAAGTAACTAGTCACTGTTTTCTTTCTTCACCATTTTAAGCACCTTCTAACCATCATTAATTCATTTTAAATGATTATGTAGTGTAAAATAAAACTTACAACTAAAACTACTCTCAATAATACTTACAAAATAGTATGCAATTTATTAAAAACATACATATAAATAAACATGAATAGTCTGTTAACAATACAGAATGTCTACAAAAAGATCCGCACTTCAGTACATCGAGTACGTTTTCAATCATGTATCGTATTGTGATACCTATCGTACCTAGCGTCCCCTGTCAGGACACAGATCTTATCGTAAAAACCCCATCAGCGCCTTGTTCTATGGTTTACTACAGCTCTGAAAACTTAAGGTCAACTTACGTAGTCAAAAGTAAGTATAAATAGAGCCCTACCTGAGTTTGGTGTCTGTCATCAGAGGAGCAGCCGCAGGTGGGGAGTGTGTGCATGTGTCTGTACAGCAGACGCTGTGTGTTTGCAGCCGGGAGGGAAACGCTATTGTACAGGGGCAGCTGTTGGCAGAGAAGAGAAAAGAGAAAGAGCAAAGTGATTAATATTTCACGGCGGCAGCAGAGGGCATGACGAGGGGGTGCAAACCGCAACACTTGAAGAGGACAATTATGAATTTTACTTTTTTAATATTGGTGACACAGATAACACAAACCTAAATTATGTAATTATAAATAAGAAAATAAATAGAGGGTTGAATTTCATCCAGGACCTGTGATATAAACTACAGCTCTGACCTAAAAAGAGCCTTAAATCAAAGGAATTGTTGAGCCATTTGCTGGTTTTTGCATTGTAAAGTACCTAGTGTTGCCTTTCCATGTAAAAGAGTTAAAAAATAATAAATAATACAGAAGAAATAAGTGTTTGATTTTGTTATGTATCCGTTTTTTTAATGAATGGTTACACTTACTATATTTAACATGAATAACATTACAAGCATAATAAAAGTAAAGAGTTCATATCCATTCAAACAGTAAACAAACAGACAGACAGACAGACAGAGATGATAAACAGATGGTTGCACAGACAGACAGAGAGACAGACAGAAGACTGACAGACAAAGAGACAGACAGACAGACAGAAACAAATAGGTAACAGACATAGAGACAGACGATAAGACAGATGGGTATACAGACAGATAGATAAACAGATAGATAGCCAGCCAGCAAGCCAGGCAGACAGTTAGACACACAGAGACAAGACAGATAGATAGACAGACATGTGTGTTGTGTCTGACCTCAGTGTGCTACCCTACTGTCCACCACAGTGATCCGAAGTATGTATGTGTGTTTGTAAGTTAATTAAAGACTGTGGTATCAAATGTTCACATGTTATAATTTGTTACAGTTTAATACTTCTCGTATAATGTTATACACATACATATGTATAATGATTATGATATGATCTATCTATTTAATCTTTTTCAATTTTATATATATTTTTTACAGGTTACAAAAAATGTCTCATTAAAAAAAATTACAATATAATAAGATTTGAAATCTATCTCTGCTGCATTGTTTATGCCACTATGTTCACCAAATGAAAAGGGGCTACAATAATTTTTAAATGTGCCTTCTTTACTCTAAATACACAACCTAGCAGAGACAGAGTAAAAACAGCTGCGCGACAGCTGATTACTTACATTTACGCTGGTGGAATAAGTTAACTGGGACAGAGGGAATATGAGAGATGGAGAGGATTGTACAGCCCACGGTGGACAGGCTGTCCGGTGAAAAAAAAGGAAAGACTTTGAACTAATGACATTGATGTTGTGGGCAGGAATGCCAAGAGCTCAGCCGTGAGAGACAGAGACACTTACTAAACCAGACAGACCAAATCTAACACCCCTCGTGTTTTCCTGCAGGGAAAATAGGATCGAGAGTGACAAAGAAAAAGGTTACGAGAGGAGAGGAAAGCCACTTGTATACAGAAGCGTCATGTCAACTGAAACTGAGGGGGTTAAAACCACGAGCATGACGTTTTTCTATTGTTACAGGTAAAAAGGTGTTTATCTAAGTGCGTTAGCAGAAATGACCCATTCACATGTCTGAATTTGTTCAGTTTCACTAGGTCTACAAGCCCTCCATCATAATATTAGTTAAAATGATAATAAATTAAATATGCCGTTTTTAAGTGTACAAACCCAAAAATAACGAAAGCAATATATTTAGCTAGATGCTAATGCTAACGCTCAAGCTTTAATATCTACGTCTGAAACATGCCATAAAGAGCATCATTAAAATTAGAGCAGCGAGTGCCGTCCTGAATGAGTTCTAGCGGGGTTTGGCAGCAGTATTACTGCAGAGCATTTGGGAGGTCATGAAATGAACCGTAAAGTGTTTAATCTACCTCGACTCAATCCTGTGAACCTCGCTCTCCCTCCCTTCATCGCTCCATCATTCCATCCCGCCATCTCTCCAGCCTTTTTGGGTTTTCCTGAATGGATCTGGGGTTGCAATCACATATGAAATAGCAGATGTTCAGATGAACGTAACAGTGAACTGCTCAACCATTAGTGCCAAATTAATAAATGTAATTAATAAAGACCATATATATGTTCTTATAATATAATAATATAATACTATATTAACTATATATTTTTTTTTAATTAAAAAAATAAATTTTGAATAAATTAGAATTTTGAATAAAGATAATAAGGAATATATTATTATATACTTCTGCTCAAAAAAAAAAAAAAGATTTATACAATTCTTAACAAATTACTATAAATTTAAATAAATAATTTTATAACTTGCCTAGCCACACCCAAAACTCACACTATTGGTTGAGCCAATGCGTCATAGAAAAATATTTGTCTTTTTTCCCGCCAACCACATCTCAAATTATATGCTGTGTTTAACAGCATTTTGCATATTTTTTTGCAAAATTTGACAACTTTACTGCATGAATGGAAATAATGAGCTATAAAATAGTTTATATTTTTTGACGTGGTTAATATTAATAAATGTTGAGCCAATGTTGCTGTGTCAGGCTGAGCAGTACAACTTGCTCAGAAACATTGAAAACAATTCATGCTTTACCTTTAAAGAGGACAAGAGAGTGAACCTGGCAGTCTTTAGCAAAGACCAGCAACAACAATCCTAAAAAACTATGCCATCTCTCCAGCCTTTTTGGGTTTTCCTGAATGGATCTAGGATTGCAATCACATATGAAATAGCAGATGTTCAGATGAAAGTAACATTGATCTGCTCAAAAAAAATGATTTATACAATTCTTAACAAATTACTATAAATGTAAATAAATAATTTTATAACTTGCCTAGCCACACCCAAAACTCACACTATTGGTTGAGCCAATGCGTCATAGAAAAATATTTGTCTTTTTTTCCCGCCAACCACATCTCAAATTATATGCTGTGTTTAACAGCATTTTGCATAATTTTTGCACATTTTTTTGACGTGGTTAATATTAATAAATGTTGAGCCAATGTTGCTGTGTCAGGCTGAGCAGTACAACTTGCTCAGAAACAATGAAAACAATTCATGCTTTACCTTTAAAGAGGACAAGAGAGTTTGTGAACCTGGCAGTCTTTAGCAAAGACCAGCAACAACAATCCTGAAAAACAAAGAACAAGAAATGGATGAAGGAACGGAACAAAATGAAAGGTCAGTGAGGACACGAAATGAGTCACGGGCAAATATTTAGATTCCCTCGACTGCCTCACATCTGCCTCCATCTTGATGACGTCACTAATTGACAGCTCTGATTCAAGCCCATCTGTTTGGCTGGAAGAAAAACATAGAAGATATTTTCTCTCACTGTTTTACCTCCATGGATAAAGACCATAACTCTTGTTTTTTTCTGCTGCCCTCTGCATTATTTCTCTGATTCACTTGTTTAGATTTGCGGTTTGTATTAAGTCGTCACACTACCTCCAGAAACGCTCTGTTATGACCACAAAGCTTGAATTCCTGGTGTAAAATGTCCTAAACTGGCACACAACGCTCCTGTGTGAGAGAGTGAAGCACCATTAGCAGTTCATTCTCTCCAGCTTGCAAATCTGGAACGAGTTAGCCGTGTTGTTTTGAACAGGTTCTGCTCATAATTGAGATGAAAAGTTGGTTGTAGATCAGAGTTTTATTCCAAAGCTTGAAATGAGAAAGACAACAGTGTTATTTAAACTTCTGTTTGTCATTTTTTGCACTACTAGCCGCTATACGCTTGCGGTTCTTAAGTGGTTGTTAGCATGATGCTAAGTGTTTTTTTATGCTGTTTTGGTTGGTTGCTAGGTGAATAAAATTTTTTATGTTTTAAGACTTCAACTCTGGGCCCAGGACAAGGGTTAAATCTAGTGAATCTATCCTTGTTGTAAAGTAGCAATGATATAATAGTTTTAAGACAGTTCTAATGTGACTGTCATATAACAAAAAGAAGAATGTTGAAATATGTTCATTTGAATAAAAATCAACTTCTGGGAAAAGCGCCCAAAGTTGAATGAACATCAAGTGCAGCTCTATGTTTGTCTTCTGTATAAACTTGGCTGCAGACGAAAGCACATTGCCTGTTCTTCGTAGAGGTGTGTGACCTAATGATAAGAGCGAACTTTATCGTCAAAACAAAGCTGAGATCAGAGGAATAAGAGAAAGATGGAGACATTAATCATGACTAAACAGTTTTGCACTAATGAAACTGTTTTAAGTATGCACTCCATGCTCATGGGAACTGAACTGTTGGATCGATTCAAGATTCTCTTTGAACTCTTCCATAATTTTCCTGTTTTTCACAGAGAGTTTCCCCTTAGGAGCCCAGCGCAGATGACTAAGAATGGGAATTTTCTGGTTTTGAATAAATGACTCGGGAGTATAGGTCACTCCATTATGAAAGCAAACAAGAAACAAAAAAACGAACTTGCTCGCTGTGACTTGTGTCCTCGAAGTAATGCAAATAAATCATCGTCTTCGTCATCGTCCTCCTTTCCCGCCTTCCATCCGCATCTTTCTCCATTCCGAGTGCTTGAGGTTTTTTTTCCATCTGAGACCACTGTGAATAACAACAGCAAAAGGTAAACTAAGTTTAAATTTTGTTTAAAATATATTTAAAACAGTTCAAAACAGACACATGGACAAATATCCAGAATCAATGACTCACTCATAATGACTCAGTCACTCATAAAGACATTCACCAGTTTTGTTCCTGAATGAATCCGTGCGTTTGAACGAATCAGTTTAGTCAGCGATCCAATGGCTCAGACTTGTTAGTTCCTGAATGAATCAGAGAGTTATAGAACAAATCGGTCAAAGTGCCCCTATTATGGTTTATGAAATGTTCATATTTTGGTTTTGGGAGTCCCCAACAACAGGTTGACATGCATTCAAGGTCAAAAAACACTTTAATTGTCTTATAATATGCATTTATGTTTACCTTACTTGCTCAAGGACTCCCAAACGATTCGCTCAACGATTCATTTTTCCAAACTTTGCATGATGCTAATCTGCGGTGATTGGTCCGATTGGTCGATTTCATTTCCATTTCATAAAGCAGCAATTGTGAGCCAGTGCTGCTTTAAGTACAGCCGTTACCGGGGAGAAACAGCTATTTTTACCGCTCCAAAAGCGGCACCTAGTGGCAAAGAATGAATTTGCATTTTCATTTAGACCCATAGATATATATACATATCTATGATTCAGACCAATGCGAAAATCGACTGATTTTACGAACGCATATCCATAGGGGCACTTTAAATGAATACATCAATGACTCATTCATAAAGAGTTTCACTTGTTTAGTTCCAGAATGAATCACGCTGAATTCACATACTACTATTTTTACTATATATTTATATGGCAGAAATAGTCATATAGTTCCGAATTCAGCATTAGGAATCGATTAAAAGGGTCATATGATGCAATTTCAAATGTTCCTTTCTCTTTGGAGTGTTACAAGCTGTTCGTGCATAGATAAGATCCCTAAAGTTGTAGTGATGGGAAGTTCGGATCATTTTACTGACTCGGACCTTTGAGTCTCGTTCAGCAAAATGAACGAATCTTTTTTCGAGTCATTTCGTTCATTTTAGCAAAA